CAAGTGGCCAGATACTGGTCAAAGGACTTTTAACAGAGTGCCAAGTTTGCAAACTTTGTGTGTGGTTTTTCTATACATTATAACTGCATTCTCAATTCGTTTCTGACACAATAAATAATAATATATGGCTGGAGTTACACTTTCAAAATATCCCTGTCTCAACATACATACAAATGTAACTTAAGAACAAACCTATGGAACCTCTCTTGTTCATAAATTGGGGGTTGTCTGTAAATTAATGCTTTTCAGTACAAAAATTTAATTCTTCTGTTCTTCTTTTGTTCCTGAATAGAATAATCCAAAAAGAAATAGGCAAGAATAAAGCAGCTTTCCCATACTGGAATGTTAATACTAAGGCTTGTCCTTTATTTCCCCCAATTGCAACTGCAGTCGGCGAGTAAAACGCCCAATTTTGCATAATACACACAAGACTTTAAACCCATCAAAAGCCTTTCTGCGCCAGTGAAATCCCAGGATCGTAAAATAAAAGGTTTGCTCCTCTATGAAAGCTTGGAATCTCAACCTTTGAAGACAATAAGTACCTGCTGCAAGCGCAGATGGCAGCGGAACTACAAAGCAAGTCAGAGAGACATAAAAACCTAAATATTAATATAGGCATCACACTTCAGGGTGGGATGGGAAAATAAATTCAAACGGAACGTTCTTTAACGCTTCTAACAATGGCATTTGAAGTATGCATCCATCGAGGAGGCAAAAACACGCCTATTTCTCTCTGATTGTTAAGGCTGGAATGACAATGAATGATGGGACTCAATACAAATTGGGAGTCCAAAAGATCAGGCTTTTCTGCAAAGGTTGTTTGCTTCATGAACTATGATTCCTCTCCTTTAGATAAAGGTTTTCCCGACATTAAGTACAGTCGTGTCCGAGTCTGAGGTGTGGTGCTCATCTCCATTTCTAAGCCAAAGAACCGGCGTTGTCCATAAGCACCTCCAAGGTCATGTGGCCGGCATGACTGCATGGAGCGCTGTTACCCTTATACGACCCATTTTTTAAATTAAGTCATCTTTATTGTGGTTTTTTTTTAATTTTTTGCATATATTACAGAAAGAAAAAATAGATTTACAGATGTAGGGAGGGAGGGAGGTATGGGAGAAGGAAGGGAAGGAAAGGTAGGGAATGATATAAAGAGAAATGAAGATATAGTAGGAATCACAACAAACAATACAGTCTCTTCTCGATCTGTATTGATTTCTTTTCCTTGAGATATCTTCTCAGCTGTTGCCAGTCGGTCGTCTTCTTTATATTTTGGTCATACACGCTGTGCGCCAAATAGTCCATGTCCATATATTCCCTTATCTTGAGGATTCAAAGGATGGGAGTTCTTTGTTTTTCCACCTACTTGCCAAGATAGATCTCGTGGCTGTTGTCATATAGTATAGTAACTTGTCATTGTTTTTCCCTAATTCAAAATCTATTAAATGTAGTAAATAATACGACCCATTTTATAATGTAGGCTCATGAGTATCCCAACAACATACTCTCTGCAAATCCACTTAGAAGCTGATTCTACTTATTATATAATATTCATAGATCTAGGCATGAGAATATATAGCAGTTCATACTGGTTGACTCTTAAGGAAGTTGATTGCAGGAAATATAGTACTTCAGTGGAAAAAAACCAACACATTGGGAAACTAAGTTAAAGGTAAAGGTTTCCCCTTGACATTAAGTCTAGTTGTGTCCCACTCTGGCTGGTCATACTCATCTCCATTACTAAGCCAGAGAGCCGGTGTTGTTCATAGGCACCCCCAAGGACATGCGGCTGGCATGACTGCATAGAGCAGTACCTATTGATCTGCTCACATTTTGCATTTTTTCAAACTGCTAGGTTGGCAGAAGCCGGGGCTAACAGCGGGAGCTCACCTTGCTCCCCGGATTCATACCACTGACCTTTCGGTCAGCAAGTTCGGCAGCTCAGCAGTTTAACCCGCTGCACCACCACAGCTATTAATCTTACAATATTTTCCATTTTAATACAATGAAAGGGGGAGTTTGAAGTGAGGGGGGGAAACACGGCAATTTCAAGACAGTTAAGTGTTGTTGTTGTTGTTGTTCATTCGTTCAGTCGTCTCCGACTCTTCGTGACCTCATGGACCAGCCCACGCCAGAGCTCCCTGTCGGCCGTCACCACCCCCAGCTCCTTCAAGGTCAGTCCAGTCACTTCAAGGATGCCATCCATCCATCTTGCCCTTGGTCGGCCCCTCTTCCTTTTGCCTTCCACTTTCCCCAGCATAATTGTCTTCTCTAGGCTTTGCTGTCTCCTCATGATGTGGCCAAAGGACTTCAGCTTTGTCTCTGGTCTCCTTCCCTCCAGTGAGCAGTCGGGCTTTATTTCCTGGAGGATGGACTGGTTGGATCTTCTCGCAGTCCAAGGCACTCTCAGAACTTTCCTCCAACACCACAGCTCAAAAGCATCGATCTTCCTTTGTTACTACAGGGAAGACCATGGCTTTGACTAGGCAATGGATCTTCGTTGCCAGTGTGATGTCTCTACTCTTTACTATTTTATCGAGACTGGACATTGCTCTCCTCCCAAGAAGGAAGCGTCTTCTGATTTCCTGGCCACAGTCTGCATCTGCACTCATCTTTGCCCCTAGAAATACAAACCCTGTCACGGCCTCCACATTTTCTCCCTCTATTTCCCAGTTGTCAATCATTCTTGTTGCCATAATCTTGGTTTTTTTGATGTTTAGCTGCAACCCGGCTTTTGCGCTTTCTTCTTTCACCTTGATTAGAAGGCTCCTCAGCTCCTCCTCACTTTTGGCCATCAGAGTGGTGTCATCTGCATATCTGAGGTTGTTAGTGTTTCTCCCAGCAATTTTCACCCCAGCTTTGCATTCATCAAGCCCCGCACATCCTCGCATGATGTGTTCTGCATACACGTTAAAAAGGTTGGGTGAGAGGATGCAGCCTTGCCGTACGCCTTTCCCAATCTTGAACCAGTCTCTTGTTCCGTGGTCAGTTCTGACTGTTGCTACTTGGTCCTTGTACAGATTCCTCAGGAGAGAGGGAAGGGGGCTTGGGATGCCCATACCAAAAAATGCCAGGAAAGTAATGCTCAAGATCCTGCAAGGAAGAAGACTCCAGCAATACATGGAGAGAGAGTTGCCAGATGTTCAAGCTGGGTTTAGAAAAGGCAGAGGAACGAGAGACCAGATTGCCAATATCCGCTGGAGAATGGAGAAAGGCAGGGAGTTTCAGAAACACATCTACTTCTGCTTCATTGACTATTCTAAAGCCTTTGACTGTGTGGATCATCATAAATTGTGGCAAGTTAAGTGGTAGAAAACTGTAAGAAACATCTCTTTATTAAAAATGGTCAAACTGGGTTTGCAAAACAGTTCTGATACTATATAATTAGAAGACTCTAAAATATAATTTGTACATCCATATATAAATATATTGATTTCTCAACTCCAAGCTTGTAATTGGGGGGGGGGGGGGGGAGTATTATTTGTTTAATCAGCCACCTTCACAACCAAGCTCATTACATAGTTTGATTTCAAATCTGCTTTATAAATAACCACYTTACATATACAAAACATATACATATCATAAAAACAGAAGAAATTAAAATGATTTTTTGGAACATGATGGGAGGAAAAAAAACCTGTGAGCAAATGCTGTGAAGTGCCTTCCCGGATAACAATATTTGGTTACGTTGCCAACACAAAATGGAAGAGCAAGAACTTGATTATATAGGAAGGCCAATGGCCAACAAAGAGTGCAATTTGTTCATGATCTTAATTTCCTTTACCTTGTGCTCTTCCGCAAACCTCGTTGAAGTCAGCAAAGGTTAATTAGCAGCAATATAGGGATTTTACTCAATTCGTGCAGCTTTTAGATTACTGTCATATAAACAGGAGAAAAAAGAGAGATCGCGTGTGTCAGTTTGATCACTGGTGATTTATTCATTTCAGCAAAATGTGTTTCAATGTGTTGTCGAAGGCTTTCATGGCCAGAATCACTGCATTGTTGTGAGTTTTCCAGGCTGTTTGGCCATGTTCCAGAAGCATTATCTCCTGACGTTTCGCCCCCATCTATGGTAGGAATCCTCAGAGGTTGTGAGGTCTGTTGGAAACGAAGCAAGTGGGTTTATCTATCTGTGGAATAATGTCCAGGGTGGGAGAAAGAACTCTTGTCTGCTTGAGGCAAGTGTGAATGTTGCAACTGGCCAGCTTGATGAGCATTTAATGGCCTTGCAGCTTCAAAGCCTGGCTGGTTGCCGCCTGGGGGGAATCTTTTGTTGAGAGGTGTTAGCTGGCCCTGGTTGTTTCCTGTCTGGAATTCCTCTTTTTTCTGGGTGTTCCTCTTTGTTTACTGTCCCGATTTTAGAGTTTTTAAAATACTGGTAGACAGATTGTGTTTATTTTCATGTTTTCCTCCTCTCTGTTAAAATTGTCCATGTGCTTCTTGTGGATTTCAATGGCTTCTCCGTATGGTCTTACATGGTAGTTGTGGCTACCAGTATTAAAATCAGGACAGTAAATAAAGAACAACACCCCAAAAAACAGTGGAACTCCAGACAGGAAACAATCAGGGCCAGCTAACACCTCACCACAAAAGATTTCCCCAGGCAGCAACCAGCCAGGCTATTCGATGCTAATCAAGGTGGCCAACTGCAACATTCACACCTGCCTCCAACAGACAAGAGTTCTTTCTCCCACCCTGGACATCATTCCACAGATATATCAACCCCACTTGCCTAGTTTCCAACAGATCCCTCAAGCTCTGAGGATACCTGCCATAGATGTGGGCAAAACGTCTGGAGAGAATGCTTCTGGAACATGGCTAGTCTGCCTGGAAAATTCACAGCAACCCAAAATGTGTTTTGATTTAAATGTCAGTTTTCGACAAGCCATTTGACGCCTGATCAATGGACGCAGAGGCTACTTTGTCAATCGTATTTAGGTGTTTTGGACTCCAACTCCAGGTGTTTTGGACTCCAACTCCCACCATTCCCAACAGAATGTTAGGAATGGTGGGAGTTGGAGTCCAAAACATCTGGAGTGCCAAAGTTTGCCCAGGACTGTTCTAGAGCAACATTACAGCAGTTGGTTTTCTACTGTTTAACGCTAAGAGACCTGTGTTAGACATAAGTGCTCATGTTGGGTGAACAACAAGGGTGAACAACAAGTAGTAGCATATGTGTAGATTTAGCTGGAATGATGATGTCATATAATGTAATGGGTATTCTGCTATGTAAGAGCCATAGAAGCTGTGCAAAAGCTGTGTATAAAAACATAATTAAAGGGATGAAAACAGCGTATGGGATTTTGGAAGACCTATTCGTGACATTAAGGAGCAAAACACAATTAATGAAACACAACAAGTGAGCATCCCGGTATACCAAAACATTTGGACGTATGTCTGGGGAGACAGACAATGCTTGCATCTCCAACAGGAATGCATTCTCACATAACTGACATGTCAGTTGAAGAGAAAACGTCACTATTGGGAACCAAATGGTAGACTTAAGAATTAACTAGACTGGAATTTAAAGCAAAATACACCATTGTCATTGCAAAACTATTGCTATTTGGTGCGAAAAAGCTCACAAAGTGATATTTTGCTTATCTTTCTAGCCCATTTCCTTTTTCTGCTCACGGATTGTGATGTGAAATAGGTGACTAAACCTTCTGATTCTAACCCACCTTCATATTACATTAAAGAAATAGGACTAATTAGTTATTGCATATACATAGTCGGTGTCCATTTAAATAGTGACGAGACCTCACCGCTACCTGCATTGACACCGAGCAGCCCAACTGTTGCAACGTTCATTTTGGTAGCTTATGAGACACAATAATAGCAGCTTAATTATATGTGCTTTATGAGAACTTCAGAAAAAGTTTGGAAATGCCAAATGCTTTGAACGGAAGAGCATTACATCTATGAGAAACTCTGACATGTAACTAAGCACAGTTCATAGCAGACTAGAGCAAGGATTGGCTGCAACTCCCATCAGCTTTTGTCACAAAGCCGAATAATGTGCAATAATGGGATTTGTAGTCCCACAGGACCTGGAGGGTTACGTGTTATTTATCAACAACAGGGCATTGAAGCTATATTGAACTTTGCAGTGTTGTCATCCATTCAATCACAGTGTCTTCCCCTTGAGTCCATTTCTGTGCTAACATTGCATATATGGTCGATCTCCGGAAAGGAAAGCAAGCTTCCCCACTTGCGCAGTGCTTCCGACTAAGACATATATATCTTCTGCCTTTTCACAATCGCTGCGCAACACAGAGGACACTTCTCCACCGCTTCGGCACAGTCCTTGCAAGCAACCAGGTGTCCGCATGGAAGGAGGACCACCGAGATGGATTTATCCATACAGATTTTGCAGAGCTTTTCCTCCTGCAAACGTCTCAACTTCTCTTCGGTGCTGAGTTCTAAAGGGAGGAAAAAAACCCAACAAGATATATCACCAAGTAACAACTGTAAAACAGGCAAAAGCATTAGTTCCAAGCTTTGGCAGGAAAGGAGTGATAGAGATGGCAACGAACTCCAAAACACCGGATGATCTGCCTTAGAGGCTTCATGTATATGTTAAACAACATGAGGGACAATACTGAGCCCTGCAGGACTCCACAAGTCAATGGCTGCGGAGCTGTCAGGCACTTTGGGTATTACGTCATGCCTCATACCAAATATTTATTTTTCACCATAATTTGCAAATAAATTAGTTAAAAATCAGGATGTGTTTTCTCATGCTGTCTCTCACAGTTGTGCGCCAGCTACGCCCGTACCTTGGGAAGAATTGACTTGGCCACGGTAGTCCGCGCTCTGGTTACATCCCATACAGACTACTGCAACGTATAGAGTATATTTCCCCACCTGTATGAAGTTCTATATTTATGACCCCGTTCCTTCGAGTTTCTCCCCCACAAACAATCTGCTCCATCCCTATCTCATCCTGATTTTAGTATTTTTAGTATCTTAGTTTTATCTTGCACATGCGGCCCGCTCATTATGTTATGTTATTTTATTTTACTGTGTATGGTTTTGCTTTATTGTTTTGTACTCATATGCTGTATGTATTTTAATGTGTTGCTATTTTGTTTTGGTTCTACTTTACTGTAATGTGCTGTTGGGCTTGGCCTCATGTAAGCCGTCCCGAGTCCCCATTGGGGAGAGAGATGGTGGCAGGGTATTAAATAAAGTTTATTATTATGATTATGATTATTATTACGTGGTGTTGCCTTTGAAGACTGCCTGGAAGCTTCATATGGTCCAATGGATGGCACCAGATTACTAACAGGAGCAGCACTCAGGGAGCATACAATTCCTCTGTTGCGCCAGCTCCACCGGCTGCCACCGTTTAGCCTAGAAAGCCCTAAACGGTTGTGGCCCAACCTACCTGTCCGAATGCATCTCCCCTTATGAACCATCTAGGACTTTAAGATCATCTGGGGAGGCCCTGCTCTCAATCCTGTCTGCGTTGCAATTACGTTTGGTGGGGATGAGAGACAGGGCCTTCTCAGTAGTGGCCCCTCGGCTATGGAACACCCTTCCTAGGGACATTAGATTGGCTCCCTCCCTTCTAATGTTCCAGAAAAAGGTTCAGACTTGGTTGTTTGAGCAAGCATTTGAAAATGCAGTGTAACAGACATAGGAAATTGGGACTACTGGATGAGGAGACTGGACAAAGTTTTTAACTAGGAGACGTAAATGCTATAAGTTTTATTAATTTTGTTATGATTTTATATTATATGTTAATATTTTTAAATGTCTTTATGGTGTTGTGGGCATTGAATTGCTGCCTCTATAAACCGTCCTGAGTTGCTTGTGGCTTGAGAAGGACGGTATACAAATAAAGTAAGTAAATAAATAAATAGCTCCACTGGCTGCCAATTTGCTACCGGGCACAATTCAAAGTGCTGGCTTTAGCCTTTAAAGCCCTAAACGGTTCTGGCCCGACCTATCTGTCCGAACGCATCACCCCCTATGAACCAGTTAGGACATTAAGATCGTCCGGGGAGGTCCTGCTCTCGATCCCGCCAGCCTCACAAGCATGGCTGGTGGGGACGAGAGACAGGGCCTTCTCAGTGGTGGCCCCTCGGCTGTGGAACGCCCTTCCCGCAGACATTAGATCAGCCCCCTCCCTGCTGGCGTTCAGGAGAAGAGTAAAGACCTGGCTCTTTGAACAGGCGTTTAATTAAGCAGTGCAACCAATTGATTGATCTTGGAACTTGGAATAATGGACGAGGAAATTCGGATTATGACTTTACTGATGAGACGTGATGGATTAGTTATATGGATGTATTGATGTTATATTGATGTATTGTTATATTGATGTAGTTGCCTTAGTTACTGTTTTAAATGCTAATGTTGTGCACTTTGTATATTGACCTGGCTGTAAACCGCACTGAGTCGCTTATGGGCTGAGAGAGTGCGGTATACAAATAAAGTAAGTAAATAAATAAATAGTTGAGGTCTACCTCATACCAAATACTTATTTTCCACCATAATTTGCAAATAAATTTTTTAAAAATCAGACAATGTGATTTTCTGGATGTGTTTTCTCATGTTGTCTCTCATAGTTGAGGTCTACCTATGATGTCAATTACAGGCCTCTCTCGTCTTTTAAAGTGGGAGAACTTGTATAATTGACATCTGACTAAAAACCTTTTCTCCACTGTATGCATGTGCATATTTAAAAAAAACCATAGAAATTTGCTTTAAGGCAGCAAAGAATGACAATAAATAAACTGGCTAAACACCAAGAAAATCATCTCAACTTTTTAATGGTGAGGCACCCAGATAGAGCAACAGATAGCAAACAGGAAGCATTCAGATAATGCAATAACCTGGAGCAAGGTGTTTCTATCTCTGCCCAGAGAAGCCTAGACCTTAGAAAAGTTATTTTTCCGACTGAATCCAAATGCTTCCACTAATGCCATACAGAGTGGGAAATTCTGCGAGCTGTAGTCCAAAGAAATAACTTTCCAACATGCATATAGGAACAAAATCTATGTCCCTAATACACATCAGTTGCAATCCCATAGTAATTGTTTTCCTTTAACTTGGGAGATGTGCGGCAACATCTTAATGCGCTCACCTTTTTCCCAGGATTCACTGAGTATTTTCTCTCTCTGGGCATTTATTAAATCTGCCACCAGAGCCTCCATGGATCTGTAGCTCTCTGCGGACAGGTGTCGCTTTCTCTCTACTGTTTTCCTAATTTCTTCCAAGGTGAAACCCATATGCATTGCATCCTGTACCATTTGGCTCTGTAATAGCTCCTCATCTTCAGCGGCAGCAAGAGATCAATAAATAAATAAATCAAACCAAGAAAATTTGATGTTAAAATGCAACGTGTGTTCTGAGACACCAAATAATTGCAAATTTTAGCTTTTTCAAGCTGGATACACACAAGTGCAACTAACTGTTTCACCTGCATGAAGCAAAGTTAAAATTTGTCTGTGCAGCCTGCTCCATCCACATGTGTTTATTTGATGTAAAAGAATACACTTTCTGCAGTAAGTTATCCTTGATCAGATCCATGTTGGATATAGATAAAGTGCCATAGCTCCTGCTCACAGGATCTTTCATTTCAAGTTAAAAGCAGAAAGTAGCAGGAAATGAGAAAAAAGCTATTCCACAGACCAACAGTCAACTGAAGCAAACAGTGTTGACCTAGATAGGCAATACACACACACGCGCAAGCATACACAGTACATACATGTAGGCCTTCTTTTGAGCTACTCAACAGTCCCTCTCAAACAGTCCAAAGTCACCTAATTATACAGATCTCTTTCAACAATCTAAGCAAATTTTGTAACAAATGATTGGCTTTATGGATGGAGAAATTTGAGTTAATGTTTTCCATATTAGTTTTAGTTTTGTTGGTCATTAATCTGTAACACATGAATCTGTGTTGAGTTTGCCAGTTAACAAATTAAGCATGTTAGTTGTAAAAAATGCGATACAAACCTTTAGTAAGTGATGTCTTCTCAGTCTCCTCTATCTACAAAGAAAATTTGAAATGAGATCCCAATTAGATTAGTTTAGAGATCAATTGACCTACAGATTTAACAGCTACACCAATACTTCAATTTGAGTTCCTTATTTGTGCCTTGGCATGAACTGGCCATAACTCCTGACACTACAAAGTAGATGTTTAATAATAAAAGCTCAGCATTTATCTGCAATGTCAAGAGCTCTGCAGCTCAACACCTCACTACCTCTGAGGATGCTTGCCATAGATGCAGGCGAAATGTCAGGAGAGAATGCCTCTAGAACATGGCTATATAGCCCGAAAAAACCTACAACCCAGCTCAGCAGTTTATTTATAAAATGCAAAAGTATGTTTGTGCCAATTCCTATCCTTGAGGCACACGTAGATATGAGTATTAAGCTTTAACTTCTGTTGCATACATGAAAGGGAGATACATCTTGTTAAATATCCCATACAGCAACCATGGTCCTGCTATTTAATGAGGTCTACGAATTCATAGTTTAAAACAATATATTTGAAAACAGATCCCCTGTGGAAGTATCCCAAATTCCTGATTAACGGGTGAGTGAGAAGCACTGGGATGGGTTAGGAACACTTACTGTAGAATCCTGCAATGAATGAGTTAAATGAACTCTGTTTACAAAGTCTTGCCCCTTTTCTTCTAGCAGGTATTTGCACCTAGGTACAAAATAGGTCAATTAAATAAGTTAGAGTTCTAAATACTTTAAAAAAGAATGGTTCAGAACATATAGACATCTGGAATAAAACTGCAGCAAATGAAATAGAATTGCCATTTTGACTTGACTCTTATGAGCCATGAAATCACAATTTTCAAAACCCCCAAACCAAAAAAAGTATTTGCTAACGAATGTAAAGTGGAGCAGCAAAAAATGTGTTCTATGTCAGGTGAATATCGGGTTTAAGAGGAACAGAAAATTTCCACACAGCTGCTTAAAATATTCCAAGCAGTGTCGAGGTCACTGATAAAGCACAACGGTTGCTCAATTTGAAAATAAAAAGAACCAAAAGAGAATGAAGTAAAAAAGCACAGGCATTCCCTTATCCTTTGTAGCCCATTTATCCTACCCCTCAGTCACACCTCAAGGTGAAGTGGAGGGAGGGAGAAAGAATTCTGTTTCAGTTCAGTACAGGAAGCAAGGCCACCATTTGACCTGCAAGCCTCAGAAGGCAGATACTTCCAGCTGCCTTGCCACACATCTCTTTCTCAACAGCAATGCCTGGAATGGCTCTCTTTCCGCTCCCAAAAGGTCAAGACTGAAACCCAGAACATGATTCTGCGCCTTAAGTCGAGGAACATATAGGCAGTCCATGACAGCAATCACAGAGATCAAGGCTTTTGGGTGCATCCGGAGGTGGCCATGGCATTTGACACAGTTCACTTGGCTTATTTATTTATTTACTTTATTTGTATACTGCCCCTATCAGCCTTCCCGCGGCTTACAAGGCAAAATTCAGTGCCACAAAAACACAGTACAATTTAAAACATTAACAGCAATGAAATCAAAGCAACAGCAATAAAAACGTAAGTTAGTAAATCTTAGCCTTATTTCAAATACTGATATTTTTGCAAACGTTGCAACTCTTGCAAATGAAATGCATTTTAAGTCTTCAAAACTGATACTTCTAAAAATATGTGAAGTATATGGGATCCAATCACAAGGACAGTACAAAAGGCCATGAAGACAAGATGGGAATGTGTACATATCCTCTGCCCACAGATAATTCTGCTTAAATAGATAAACTATGAGGTGTGGCAGAGCCAATGTATTAGTTCGGCAGAGGAAACAGAGCCAATTGTCATTTGACAGCCACTGTTCCATTAGTGCCACATGAGAAAGACAGACGGGAAATAGCCATTCACTGAGCACAGTTGGTGTGGTGGCCATCTTGGACCCTTTCTCCTCTCCCTGAACTGTTTCCACTCCAGCTGGTTGTTATAAGAACCAGTTATAAAGTAAGAATCAACATCTGATTTTGCTTTCTTTCTCCTTGTCCTATCCCCCTTGTCACACAGACACAATGCAAAGCGCTTTTCACAATTATGAATACAAACTACAACTAAAATCCAGCAAAAAAAAGTATCACCACTATCAGTCAAAGCATATGGTGCAAACGCTTCAAATTAAATGCAGTCATAAAATGAAGACCCTTACCCAGGAAACCACTTTGCATGCTGCTCCCAAGGATCTTCATACGCCTTCCATTCTTGCAGTGCACCGCCACAGTGAAAGCACGCCACGCTATCACCGTTCCCTATGCACAAACAGGGATTTGTTTTCATCTAGTATTTGAAAATGGCTTTCACAAACACATACATTTATGTAGAGCCCAGTTAAAAATACTTCTAGTTTTGTGATGTACAATATGTCAGCAATAATTCAAAGGAAGCATTTCATATCATGTCATAAATGTAACACCCTGCCTAACATTCTAAGATATTAACCAAAACACATGCTTATCAACTAACATGAAAAGGTTACTGGTTTTAACTCGGCTTTCCCATTTGATCAGGTTTATAGCTGTATTGATCTAGATCAGCAATTCCCAAATTGTGATCCCTGAAATCTAAATCAGTATTTCCCAACCTTTCTAATACCTCGACCTCTTAATACAGTTCCTCATTTTGTGGTGACTCCCAACCATAACATTATTTTCGTTGCTACTTCATAAATGTAATTTTGCTACTGCTATGAATCATAATGGAAATATCTGATATGCAGGATGGATTTTCACTCACTAGATCAAATTTGGCACAAATACCCAATGCACCCAAATTTGAAAACTGGTGGGGTTTGGAAGGGATTGATTTCGTCATTTGGAAGTTGTAGTTGCTGGGATTTATAGTTAATCTACAATCAAAGAGCACTATGAACTCCACCAATGATGGAACTGAACCAAACTTGGCACACAGAACACCCATGACCAACAGAAAATACTGGTAGGGTTTGGTGGCACTGACCTTGAGTTTGGGAGTTATAGTTCACCTACATCCAGAGAAAACGGTGAACTCAAACTATGATAGATCTGGATCAAACTTAGAACGAATACTCAATATACCGAAATGTGAACACTAGTGGAATTTGAGGAAAATAGACCTTGACATTTTGGAGTTGTAGTTGCTGGGATTTATAGTTCACCTACAATCAAAGAGCATCCTGAATCCCACCAATGATAGAATTGGGCCAAGCTTTCCACACAGAACTGTGTTTTCTGATGGTCTTTGGTGACCCCTCTGACACCTCCCTCATGACCCCAGGTTGAGAAATGCTGATCTAAAACATCTGGATAATCAAAGGGTAAAGGTCCCAATTCAAACCAATCCACCAGTGTAAACAGATCAAACAATGAGGCTTTGCTTCCAGCTTACCTATGCTATAAAAGCCTGCTCGAGCGAGCTGCTCCTTGCTGACCAAGTAATTCCATGCCACAAAAGTCTTGAGCCGCGTTTCATAATCTGCCATACATGGATTTTGAGGGAGGCTGACATTATTGCTTCTATTCAGCTTGGCATCGCCTGACTGATTTGAAATGCCTTCAAGGTTCCCAACATCATGTCCAAGGACAAAGAAACACCTTGGGAAATGGCGCCTGTGCTCCGACCATGCCTGATCGCTTGGTTCCCAGTTTTTCAGTTTGCCCCCACAACAAAAGCACTCGACCTGGTCACCGATGCCGGTGTAATAGAGTCCGGCGTGGGCCAGGTCCTGCGGACTGACAGGGGCATAGGGAGGCCAGTTGTGGAAAGACCTCAACCTGGCTTCTTCACTACACATGGCAGGGTTTCTAGGGAACAGGGGACCAGAGAGGTCCACCACTTGCCCTGTTCTCAGCAGATAATCCGCATCAAGATCCGAAGACTCATCAAGAGATGGCTGCTGTAGAGAAGTACTCGCTGAACCATTTTCTGGCCCGTTATGACAATTGAGAAGGTTATATGTATCGTTCCTCCCAGAGTCAATATCATTGATAAACCTGCACTCTGGAGAGACGGTTCTGTGTCTTTCTATTGCGGAGTCCCCCGGTTGCCATCCTTCCACCGTTGTGTGGCAACTAAAGCACTTGACTTGGTCTCGTTCTCCAGTGTAGAAGAAGCCAGCTTGCGCTAAAGCTGCAGAGGAAACAGGACAGTCGCTTGGAAAACTGGCAAAGGTTTGCTGCCTGGAGAGTTCATCCGCCAGCTCCGGATCCTCCTCCAGAGTGGCACCAGCCCCAAGGTTTTCTGGTCCGTTACATGTCATCCCTCCTGAAGCGATAGGTTCCCGCAACTGTCCTAAATACAAACATATTAAGATTAAACAAAGAAAGGCAATAAACATGTAATACATTGGACCCTCCAGATCCATTATTCTACCAATCATGGACTGTCATATTCTACCGGTATTATTAGTGGTTGCTATAATTTTATGTGTTATTGTTTTGTGTACCATTTTATGTTATATGCTTTGTAAGCCACCCTGAGTCCTTTTGGGGAGATGGTGACAGGATTTTTAAAAAAACCTTATTAATTTTTTATTATTATTATTATTATTATTATTATTATTATTATTATTATTATTCATAGGGAACTACTATAATGTTCATGGAGCCCCCAGTGGTGCATGACTTGAAAGGTTGGCGGTTCGGATTCAGGGAGTGGGGTGAGCTCCTGCTGTTAGCCCCAGCTTCTGCCAACCTAGCAGTTTGAAAACATGTAAATGTGAGTAGATCAATAGGTAACACTTCTGTGGAAAGGTAATGGTGATCCATGCAGCAATGCTGGCCACATGACCTTGGAGGTGCCTTCTCAGAATAAGGAGAACTCTCATCAATATGCCCTCATAATGCCCTTTAATACTGACTTAGGATGGATTGCGTTCCCTCATTTCTCTCTGAATAATCCTATCCCAGTTACATTTTTACCTGTTCACGTCAGCATATTCTCAATTTTAATCTATTTACATTTGGCCTGGCCATTTTTAATATGTCATTATTGATTGTTGTTTTTGTTATGTGATTTATATGATTGTTGTTTTTGTTATGTGATTTATATGATTGTTGTTTTTGTTATGTGATTTATATGATTAGTATTTTATTGATTGTTTATTAATGTTGTGTTATTGATGCTTGTTTGATGTACTTTGGGCTTGGCCTCATGTAAGCCGCACCGAGTCCTTTGGGGAGATGGTAGCGGGGTACAAATAAAATTATTAATTATTATTATTATTGGAGGTGTCTAAGGACAACGCCGGCTCGCAGGCTTACAAATGGAGATGAGCACCACCCTCCAGAGTTGGACACAACTAGACTTAATGCCAAGGGGAAACCTTTACCTTTACTTATGAAGTATTGTCAGTAATTGAATTACGTTAGCCTCTAGGTCCACAGGGTTTTAGTTCCAAGAAAGCTTCCTTTCAAAGCGGATGCTTAAAAAAATAAAATAAAAATACGCCACTATGTTCCATACTATTAAATGCAATTACATGCTAGTGGCTGCTTCAGCGCACCTAGGTTCATGTTGTCTGTTCTACAGCATAGATGCCGTTTTCTTTTCCATTGTTGGAAGCTTTTGTTTTTAGAGAAGGAATCCTAAGCAGGCAGCCACTGTCATGGCCAAATTACAAAGAATGCACTTTTTGCCACTGTGCTGTACAATCGGCAGCAAATATTATGACTTTTTTTAGTTTCAGGGTGTTGAAAACTGATGTGTGCATGGCATTCGATGGCGCATGAGACTCAAGCCATGCGACACATGGGCCTCGCGATTAGGGCTACTAAACCTAAAGGCGTGCATGATACGCATTTCAGGAAACATCAGCCATTTCACTTTTGCTTTCATCATCTGCCTCACTCCGGGCAAAAGGGCTCAAAAAGTGCACTAATCCACCCCAAAACGAGGCTGGAGAAGCTGCGACAGGCAGAGAACTGTGTTTACATTGAAAAGGTGAAGGGTGAACAGAAAGGGCGATGGCAAGAAATGTGCCCTGAAGAGAGAGGAAGGAAGTGAAAGTGTCATAACCTGCCCTTCCCTTTGCACACTCATCTCACACAAGCATAAAGTTTGGAGAGACTCCTTCAGAGAAGGAGGCTCCATTGGAAGAGATCCATAATGGGCATTCTGTCCAGCCCGCTTCAGCCAGGCAGGAAGGAAGGCACAGGCAAAGTCCTCCCAGCAGATAGCCATCCCGACTCTGTTTTAAAACGCCCAGAGAAGGAGAATCCGCTGGGCCCAAGGCAGTCTAAACTTTACTAGGAAGGTATCCCCAAAAAGCATCTAGTTCAACCTCTTTCAGACAGCCAAGCAGGAAGACACAGGCAAAGCCCTCCCAACAGATGACCATCCACCCTCAGCTCAAAAACCTCCAGAGGAAGAAACTCCATTGGAAGAGATCAATAAAGGGCACCTAGTCTAACCCCCTTCTGCAATAAAGGAAAATATAAAGCCCTCCCAACAGATGGCCATCCAGGCTCAGCTCAAAAACCTCCAGAGGAAGAAACTCCATTGGGAGAGATCCATAAAAGGCATCTAATCTAATCCCCTTCTGCAATAAAGGAAAATACAAAGCCCTCCCAACAGATGGCCATCCAGGCTCAGCTCAAAAACCTCCAGAGGAAGAAACTCCATTGGAAGAGATCCATAAAGGGCATCTAGTCCAACCCCCTAGGAAAACACAAAGCCCTCCCAACAGATGGCCACCCAGCCTCAGTTCAAAAACCTCCAGAGGAAGAAACTCCATTGGAAGAGATCCATAAAGGGCATCTAGTCCAACCCCATTCTGCCACAAAGGAAAATACAAAACCCTCCCAACAGATGGCCATCATGCCTCAGTTTAAAAACCTCCACAGAAGGAGACTCCAGTGGAAGAGATCCATAAATGACATCTTGTCCAACCCCATTCAGCCACAAAGGAAGACACAGTCAAAGCTCTCCCAACTGATGGCCATCCAGGTTCTGTTTTAAAACCTCCAGAGATGGAGAATCCACTGGGCCCATGGCAGTCTATACTTTACTAGAGTTGTAAGGGATTTCCAAAGGACATCTAGCCCAACCCCCTTCAGCCAGACAGGAAGACACAGTCAAAGCCCAACCAACAGATGGCCATCATGCCACAGTTAAAAAAAACCCTATTGGAAGAGATCCATAAAGAGCATATAGACCAACCCGTTTCAGCCACAAAGGAAGACACAGTCAAAGCCCTCCCAACAGATGGCCATCCAGCCTCTGTTAAAAAACCCCAGAGAAGGGAACTCTATTGGAAGAGACCCTCAAAGGGCATCTAGTCCAACCCCCTTCAGCTACAAAAGAAGACACAGTCAAAGCACTCCCAACAGATGGCCATCATGCCTCAGTTCAAAAAAATCCAGTGAASGAAACAGTACTGGAAGAGATCCATAAAGGGCATATAGACCAACCCCTTTCAGCCACAAAGGAAGACACAGTCAAAGCCTTCCCAACAGATGGCCATCCAGCCTCTGTTTAAAAACCCTCAGAGAAGGGAACTCTATTGGAAGAGACCCTCAAAGGGCATCTAGACCAACCCCTTTCAGCCACAAAGGAAGACACAGTRAAAGCACTCCCAACAGATGGCCATCATGCCTCAGTTCAAAAAACCCAGTGAAGGAAARACTATTGGAAGAGATTCATAAAGGGCATCTAGACCACCCCTTTCAGCCACAAAGGAAGACACAGTCAAAGCCTTCCCAACAGATGGCCATCCAGCCTCTGTTTAAAAACCCCCAGAGAAGGGAACTCTATTGGAAGACATCCATAAAGGGCATCTGGACTATCCCCTTTCAGCCACAAAGGAAGACACAGTCAAAGCCCTCCCAACAGATGGCCGTCCAGCCTCTGTTAAAAAACCCCAGAGAAGGGAACTGTATTGGAAGAGACCCTCAAAGGGCATCTAGTCCAACCCCCTTAAGCTATAAAGGAAGACACAGTCAAAGCACTCCCAACAGATGGCCATCCAGCCTCTGTTTAAAAAACCCCAGAGAAGGGAACTCTATTGGAAGAGACCCTCAAAGGGCATCTAGTCCAACCCCCTTCAGCTACAAAGGAAGACACAGTCAAAGCAGCCCCGATAGACGGCCATGCTTAAATACTTCCAGGCTCTTCGCCATTGTGGGGCGCTCAAGGCCCCTCAAACTCACCCCGGCCCGGTTCCTTCGCCTCAAGACGACGCCGCTCCGAGGAGAAGGAGGAGGAAATGGCGGCGCTTCCCTCTTCCGGCCAATAAAGGAAGCGCGACCCCAAGTGGATCTGGGAAGCAAGTGCAACCAGAGTTCTCTTTTTAGGCGGGAAGACTGCATTTCCCAGAAGAATCCGCCACAACAAGCTGTGCTAATGGATGCCGGGAATCGTAGTCAAAAAGGTAAAGTCGTCCCCCATTGGTCCGCCTTAGCCACGCCCACCGTCCTTGACAGAGGAAAATGAGGAGCTCTGTTGAAGGCGGAAGAACTCCCATAACAGAGTCGTGGCAACTGAAGTGGTGTCAATCCGCGTTAAGTCTACAGTGTAGACGCCCCCTCAGGAAAATAAAATCCTGCTCAATACGAGGGGCTGCCTTAAATCAAAAAGATCACTGGGAGACACATATCTACTCACTCACATGTGATAAATACACTTCTTTATGCAGAAAATAATATATAAATTAATAATTATTATATTTTTATAAGTATAATATTCATATTATAATACTTATAGTAGTATATATTAATGATAATTATATTACTATCGCAATATATACATTATAATTACATATATTATAATAATATAAGTATGTAATGTATCTATCTATATATATAAATCTGTTAGGTTGGTTCAACAGGACAGCAAAACTCACAAACCCCCCAACGAAACTTAACCAAAATTCCCATGCCCATAACACAACCCACAAGG